TAAAGCTCTGGAATTCCTTTAGGAAATCCACGATTAAAGCTCTAGAATTCCTTTAGGAAATCAACGATTAAAGCTCTGGAATTCCATTAGGAAACCCACGATTAAAGCTCTGGAATTCCTGGAAACCACGATTAAAGCTTTGGAATTTCTGTAGTTAACGATAAAAGCTTTGGAATTCCTTTAAGAAAACCACGATTAAAGCTCTGGAATCCCTGGAACCCACGATTAAAGCTCTGGAATTCCTGGAGTCCACGATTAAAGCTCTGGAATTTCTTTAAAAAATCCCCAACTTTAGCTCCGGAATTCCTTTAAAAGATCCTCGACTTAAGCTGTGGGATTCCTTTAGGAAATACACAATTAGAGCTCTGGAATTTCTTTAAAAAATCCCCGACTTTAGCTCTGGGAATCCTTTAGGAAATCTACGCTTATAATTCTGTTGTTGGGCCTTAAGAAATTCACGATTATATCTCTGGAAGTCCTCTATAAATCCATGGTTATTGTTCTGTTGGTGGTCCATTAAGAAATCCACGATTATAGCTTTAAAAAATCCACGATTTAATTCTGATAGCCATTTAAGGAACATATGAGTACAGCTCTGGTTGTCTTTTAAAAAATATTCGATTCGACAGTCTCTTAAAAATATGCACATTTATAGCTTTGGTGGTACTATAAAAATACAGTACTGTTTGGGGGATCTATAAAAATACTTTAAAAATCCACAATCCTTTAAAAATACTTCAAAATATATAATTTGCTCACTTGCTGGTCCTCTGACTTATCCACAATTCTCAATCGCTCAATCGGTTTTCCAAGAAATGCTTTAAAAATTTCACGAATTGGGTCTGGTTTTATTCAAAAGCCGCCAAAATGTATTCTTTCTAAATACGGATGATGATGTGCATGTGAAAACTACAGAACAATATCAAGACATATTCTACCCTTTCGAAAGCAATTTCCTTAAAACCTTGGTTTTATGACGCCACACCCTCATACACACCTAGTCGTGACAATCATAAAGTCTATACCCCCAAGAGATTAAAGGTGGTTATTGGCATGTGAAAATACCAACAAAAAATGAGCACGCAATGTTTTTACATTAAATTTACATAAAATATATTTTGTTATATTCACTTTTCAATTTCACCATCGTTCTTTTGCCTCTACTATGCCATGGAAATACAAAACACATGACAGCAATAAAAAAAACACAACCTGCAGCCATGTTTTTTGGCAGTTGGAAAATTAAAAATAACAGAAACCATCCCAAAGGATATATGGGCGAAATAAAACCAAAATTTCAAGAAAATCCTTCAAAACTTCAACACGATGAAATGATTGTTTTAAAAATTCAAAGGCTTGCGGGAAATGCTTTACAACTTAAGTGCACTTGGGAATGTTAAAGTCAGTGTTTTTTTGGGGGGGAAATATATCACGAAATCGTCTTTGCGCGTATAAAGGATTGTGTTTATTAATGTTTATATGTTAATGTTTTAAATGTTATTACCCACCAATCACTCGGATGAGCCAAAACGCATGTGACACATTTTAATGTACGCAAAGATAAATTTCAATTTATTTAGCAAAGGCACAAACCACGGTAATTATACTCGAGTTCAGAAAGGGTTATTATACTCGAGTTAGAAAGACAGTAAACGGGAATTAAATGTAATGAATTTTAGAAGAAATCTATGAGAAAAAGGGGCACAAATTACAAATTAACCGAGAATAGATAAATAAACCTATAGAAATTAAAAAATACAAAATATCTATAAAAAAATTAGAAAAAAGTGGTAAAAAATCTTCATCCTTCATCATCGAACATTTTTATAAAGGGCCAATTTTTTAAATTTATATATTTACAAGGGGAGTTTAAATCCACAAAACAAGGCTCGTTCTTAAATATATATGCCCGCTACTTCGTTAGAGAAAATTCTAGATTCGTTCCAACAGTTCACGTTAGTACTTTTTATACCCTCCACCATGATATGGAGGGTATATTAATTTTGTCATTCCGTTTGTAAATGCTCAAAATACTTATGTCAGACCCAAACAAAGTTCATATATTCTTGATTAGCATACAATTGTTTGTCGATTTAGCAATGTCCGACCGTCAGTCCGTCTGTGGATTTACCTTTAACATCAAAAAGTCTCCAAAATCGTTCATTTTAAAGTTTACAGAGGTGGATATTAGTAAAATCATTACACAATATACCTATATCCAATTTGTTTGTCCAAAACTATTGTCTCCTATTGTCTCACTCAGTACCAAATTGAGTTTAATTTGGTACATTTTTAACAACTATATTCAAAACCCACCGCCAAATCTCAAACACAGATACCATCAACAACCAATTTAAAAAATTTCAGAATTTTATCACCATTCACCATCACCAATTTTATTACCATTCAATACTTTTCGAACAATTACAGTATTTTCAAAACCACCTCCATACTTCAGTTTCAGATACCAATCGACACCTCAAAACCAAATTTCGGGATTCCAACTCTATCTCTTCACCGGACCACAAATTTAGTATCACTAAGTACCAATACCAAATTTAGTGTCATTTAGTACTTTTCGGACATTAACAGTACACATTTTGATAACACGTCCATATCTTAATTCCAGATAGCAACAGCCATCTCAATATCAAACTTGAGGAGTCTAGCCCAGTCGCTTGAAACAGTCCCCAATTTAGTACCATTTAGTACTTTTCGAACAATTATAGTCAAACATCAAATTTCAGAATTTTATCTCTATCTCTTCACCCTGTAACAAATATTGTACCATTCAGAACTTTTCGTACATTTGTAGTACACACCTCCATATGTCCAGGGTACAAATGATCAGCGATCTTAATACCAAGTTTCATATTTCACGCACTATCTTATCACCCAAAATAAAATTGTACCAAATTTAGTACAATTTAGTACTTTTCTAAAAGTAATAGTACACATTTCCAAAATCAGCTCTTTCTCTCAACCACAGACACCAACAGTGACATCTATATCAAATTTCGGAATTTCAACTTATCCCCTCACCCACTATCAAATGTAGTACCATTCAATGATTTTCGTACAATTATGGCATACATTTTCGAAACCACTTCATATGTCCAGGCTATACATGAATAGCGACCCTAATCCAAAATTTCGGACTTCAGTCACTATCTGTTCACCCAATACCAAATTGTACCAAATTATGTACAATTTAGTACTTTTCGTGCACTTGTAGTACACATATCCGTAGCCACCTCTTTATCACAAACCTACAACCAACTTGTACTCCATATTCAAAATTTTAGCTTCATCCGTTCACACTAAACCAAGCTTTACCAAATTTAGTACAGTTCTCTTACTAATTACATATTTCCAAATCCTCCCTCATATATCGAACTTACCTTGATTCTCATACCAAATTTTAGAATTTTAGAAGTTTAATAACATTTTAGAGCATTTCCTAAATTTTAAGTTCAAATTTTCAATAACACTCTCTATCCTGCTCCATACGTTTGTCACAATTCCAATTTGTACCAAATTAGTACTAATAAAGTACTAATTTCCAAAGCTTCCAAATCTCCGGATTCTTGCTCTATCAGGACTCTTTCACCTAAATCCAAATTGTACCAAATTTAGTGCATACTAGTACATATAAGTACCAATTTCCAAAATTACCTACATATCCCAATCCTACTATTAACTACCTATTTCCAATTTTCAGAATACTAGGTCAATCGGTTTTCCCAATTCCAAATTGTACCAAATTCAGTACCATTTAGTAAAAATGTTCATAACTTCCTACATCAGACAGTCCAATAGAAATATTTTTTTTCAAATTTCAGAATGTCAACGCTTCCGTTTCACCCAAAATTTATATTGTACCAAATTTACTCCAATACTTCAGTCCAGCAATGCAATAGTAATCTTATTTCCAAATTGCATGATTCCAACTCTATTGGTTCTCCCAAAATTTAAATTGTACCAAATTTAATACCATTTAACACACATAAGTACCCATTTCCAAAACTGTCTACTTATTCTACTACTACTTATTTCTACATTTCAGAATCCCAACTCTATTTGTTATCCCAAAATTTGAATTGTACCAAATTTTGTACCATTTAGTACTGTTCGTGCACATATGTACAAATTTCGAAAACTTCCAATAGTACACTCCGCCAGCAATGTTAATTTAAAATTTCAGGATTTTAGCTGAATCCGTTCCTCCAAATTCAAATTGTACCAAATTTAGTATCGTTTAGTACTCTTCGTATAAACGAGTTCACACTTCCAAAACTACCTCCTCACATCGACTCTACTCCTCAAACTTGATTCCCATTCCAAATTTCAATTTTCAAAGAGCTAACTCTTACAGTTCACATGATACGAAGGGGTATCAAATGTAGTACATTTTGTCCATCCATCGTACATTAGTGAACTTCATTCCAAATTTAAGAGTTCTAGCTCTACTGGTTCGTCAAATACAAAGGGAACCTTTTTTTGTACATTTTAATACTTTAGTACCGTTCTAGTACGAATTTCCAACCAGCTTTATATGACGCCTTTGAACCAAGAGTGACGCAAAATTTCTAGATTCTAGCTTCAGCCGTTTCAGCGGGACATAGATGAATCATTAAGTCAGTCAGTCAATTACTTAACCCTTTTATAATTGTGGATTTTCCTAAAGTTGAGCAGTGGCTGCTTATTATCCATCCCACTGAGAGGGCGTACAACAACTTCAAATTCATTTAATATTAAAACTACACAATAATAACAATAACACCATAAATTAAAAATAAACATTTATGTTTTATTAAATTTCGAAAACCAAACACACACATCCCCACACTCCTTCTTGTACATATTTTCATTTCGGTCTATTGAAGTCGACTTTTTGTCACATCAATATTTTCTCCACACTCACACACACAGCTACACCCACACAAACAAAAGATTGTATTTAATGCAATTTTCCTCCTCTTCTTCTTGTCCAATTTCAGGCGTTGCCCACATAACATCGGAATTAAGCTCATCCTCCAATCAAATCGATGTCAACCAGGTAAGTTCAAATTTAAAATGACAGAGTGACAGAGGATGTTTCGATTTTTTCGGTTGGTTTATTTTTTTCTCATTGTTTGTTCTGTGATTTTTTGCCGGCAGCCATACATACAGCCAGCCATATTTCAGTTATTCGAAATCTTTCCCCATCTGCTGCAGTGCCATACTCAGTCAGCCATTTCGAATAACACTTGCATGAACTACATATATCTTTCTCTATTTCTTTGTCATTGTCACTGCGTGTTCATGAATATTCGAATAACGGCGCACACATGCTTCGGTGTCTGGTTCCATTCGGAGACCGTCTGTCTGTGTCGGCTGGTTGGTTGGTTGAGTTCGCATCGTGCTAATTTGAATATCCTTGAATGCATTCAACATCCCCATCCAATCCTTTCTATAGCCATTTATACAAATTTCTCCCCACAATGACGATGCACTGTACAGAGGACATGGCTTGTTGAACCTTTTGCCGGTGGTTGCTGCAGCTGGTGCTGCTCAGACTGCTGCTATTGTTCCATGCAAATTACCCATCATTTGTTTCTCTTGTTGCCTGCTACCTCCCCGCCCGACTGCATTTGACTCGCTACACTTTGACAATGAATGACAACAAAACATGAAAATTAGGCTTTTGGGAGACATTGGGGCTTGGCTATAATAGCGAATGTAATGACATGCTTATTAGCCAATTTGGACGCAAACTTGAACAAAAAGGATATTTGATAAAAGACAAAAAAAAATTGATGAAACAGAATTTTAATAGGAGTGCGAAATTGGCTATTATGAGGGAAACGTGTTCGTTTGTAACGAACTTTGAAAAAAAAAAATTGGAAAATACAATTCTGTATAAGACTAGTTAGACAGGTAGATACACTCAATCTTGACCATAAACATACTTTTACATATAGTTAGCATACGCGACCAATGGGGATGGTTTGTGAAAGATTCAAAGAAAAATAAATAATCAGATTTCACACTAAGGAGGAAGTTACGGCGTTAATAACGCTGTGCAACATCCAACCTGGGGGTGGAAAATCCTAAGTGGAAGTGATAGTATTTGGTTAGTAGATCAAAATCAAAAAAGGGATTTGGTTACCAGGCCAAACTTTTTATAGAGGTCATTATGTATGTAGCCTTAACCATGCACAAGGGCCCTCAAATATATTTGGTCCACGTTTTGGTATGGTCCCCATATAAGGATATACACCTATGTCAATTTTTTTGTATACCCTCCACCATAGTATGGAGGGTATATTAAGTTTGTCATTCCGTTTGTAACACCACGAAATATACATTTTAGACCCCACAGAGTATATATATTCTTGATCAGCATAAAATTTTATGTCGATCGGCATAAAATTATATTTCCGTCCGTCTGTGCAAATCGCTCTAGCCTCCGAACGAATTGAAGTAGATTGATAAAATTTTACTCAAATGTATATTATGTTTACAGGACTTTTGGTATTAAAAATATGCCACGTAGGTCCACGTTTTGGTATAGCCCACATACAACGGTACCTGCCGATATTCGGTATTTTCATGATTTCAGCGACAATATTCATCGAAAATGTTTCAGATTTTGGTATATAAAGTTCGTAATGGATGCTACAACCTATGAAAGGAGATTGTCTGTGCAGATCCACGTCTTCGTATAGCCCCCATATAACGGTACCTCCCGATATTCGGTATTTTGATGATTTTAGCGACATTATTCACCGGAATTGTTTAAAATTTTGTATTTAAAGTTCGTAATGGATACCACAGCTAAAGACAGAAAATTGTCTGTATAGGTCGACGTCTCCCCCCCCTTAAATGGTACCTCCCGATATTTTATGATTTTAGCTACATTATTCACCGATTTTTTTCGAAGTTTCGCATTTGGATATCTTGGCCACATTTTCTAATCGATTTAGCAAAATTGTATGTAAGCTACTTTGGGTATAGAGAACCATCTAACAGTAAAAATTCAACATAGGTAGATATTTGGGTATAGTCCTACATAACCTTAACCCCAACTCCACGTTCCCAATCAATATTTTTTGGGGGTTGGAAGGATCTTCACAGAATCACTTTCTGAGTCGATTTATGTATGTCACTGCGTCAGTCTATCCATTTATGTTTTGTGAACAAGATGCAGGTCGCATTTATTATCCGATTGAAGTGAAAATTTTCAAACAATATTTTTGGTGTAAGGACGAATCCTATTGAAATTAGTGAGAATTGGTTCAAATTTACATGTAGCTCCCATCTATATCTCCAACCGATCTCGGGTAAATTGTGCACCAAATGACCAATATCAATCCGAATGACCTGAATTTTGGCACATCCGACCGAATTCCCGTTGGAAGCAAGTGCATGAAATTTGGAGAAAATCGGTTCATACCTCCTATATTTATGTTTCATCCGATTTGAGATTTAAATTCCCTCACACGCATAATATGCATTCCACAAGAATGATATATGTTGCCAGGTCGGATCAGATTCGTATACAGCTCCCGTATATATCAGAAACTGCTCAAAAATACCTCTGCCAAATTTTTATTTAGCTTTTATATACATCTCCATCCGATTTTACGGTTATTGCTCACCATATACAGGGTGAAATGAAAAAACTGCAACCAACTTTAGACTGCTATCATTTCTAAGCCACTCGTCCGACAGCTATAAAAATTATTCCAGTGGCAGCTCATTATATTGTTTACAAGTGTACAAAAGCTTTTTGGTGAGAATTTTCCAGAAAAAAAGTTTTTCGCGATGTAATTAAAGCGACATAGTGTGATTTCTTTATATTTGGCTAGAAAACCCCAAGCGGCTATCGTTAGAGCTCTCCAGCATTTAAATGTGAATAAATCTTTTGCGTCTTGTTCCATCGCTCGTTAACGTGATACTGGTAGCGTAGCCCGACGCCAAGAAAGTGGACAGAAGAAAACAGCAACATCAGCAGAAATGGTTCGAAAAGTAAAGAAGCGACTTGATCGAAACCCGCCTCGCAGTGGCCGAAAAATGGCTAAACATATCGCCATATTCCATTCGGCAAATATTAAAAAATGAGCTCGGGGTAAAGCCATTGAAATTCCAAAAAGTGCAAGAACTTACACGACAACAGAAAGAAAATAGACTCAAAAGAGTTGCTTCGCTTGGCCGAAAGTGATGAACAGCCGAAATTGGTTTTCCCCGCTCCGATGAGAAAACATTCGTTGTCCAGCAGTTTGTAAACAAACAAAATGATCGTGTTTACTTGCCAAAGAGGTCAGTTGAAAATGTCCACCTTCGGTTCGCCACCAAAACTCAAGCGCCGGCCATGGTGATGGTGTGGGTCGCCATAACAGCCGATGGTCGCTCTCCGCTAGTAGTAATCGACCGTGGCATCAGAATAAATGCCGCCAAAATATTCTGGAGAGTGTATTGAAGCTTTAGGCACGCAAATATTTTGGCTGCAAACCTTGGACATTCCAACAGCAATCAGCACCATCGCCATTATCGAACTACTCCGTATGGTACGTCCTCTCGAAAACGGACCAAAAATTACCAAAATTATATCTAGTTGTTATCATATAATATTTTGGACTAAAATGTGAGTATTAGAAGACGCAAGGCGAATCTGAATCGACCCAAAGTTAGTATTTTCCAAACTGTTTGCCAATATAACGTTCAGTACCAAAGAGGACAGCATCGGCTTACTCCGTCTGATATCTCCCTTAAATATTGAGTTATTACTTCGGTATTCAATGGTATTTACGTTAGATATTTTATCTGTGTTAAGATTTTAAGGCCTTCACTGAAAAATCCATTGAAATCTAGAATTGGTTATAAGTAGTTCAATTTAAAACAATGCAGTGAGAAATTGGAGGTTTCTTTCGAATTGAAAGGACATTTTATTACTAGAAAGAATTGTGAGACATTTTTTCCGAAGGGGTTATTGGAGCTATAGCTTGTGTTAATATATAAAAAGGTCATAATGGATATTTTATAAAAAAAATCCATATTTTACACTGTAATTGTCGAAAAATACAGGTGTGCTCTTTTGAAGCTGAACCTCATAAAACAGTTAAAATTTTTTCAAACTTTCCTACAAAACGAAGTCCTTTCATATCTGCAAATTGTAATCTGGAAGGAGAATATATAGGTTAATATATATTTTTTTTAATTTTAAAATGTATTATTAAAATAAGAATTCTTCTCAAAATAAACAAATAATACTTTTCCAAATGTCTCTACAAATACTTATTTACGAGCCCTACAGCGATTGACTTTATGACAATAGCAGCTTGGTATTTTTTAATTTTTCACATTTATTTGCATACTTAAAGAACAAAACAAACATGAAAATTCCAAAGAGAAATATCTTCCATATTTATGTGCCTTGTCTTTGTAATGGCCAAAGTCATAGAAGTCTATTTGCTTTGCTCTCAAATTATTAACTTTTTAAAGCTCCCCCACGCGATACATTAGATACGTTTATTAAATGCTTGCGCTGCTGCACCCGTCGTCCATGGACATGGTTTCCAGCAGTGCTTCTGCACATTCATCAAATGACACCTTCATTTCCCATTAACTCCCCGTTGGGAGAAAGCACTTTTTAATGTACACCACTACTGCGCTACTGTGTGTGTGCCTGTGTCATTCGAGGTGTCCCTGCATCCATAAATAGTACTTGTGCAGGGAAAAATGGTAATATTTGTATGAGGGTTTGTATATTATAGTAGAGTAGAGGTACATATGTATGCGGATGGTGGAAAATTGGTATGCCAGTAATGCTATCATTTTATTGGGACTTTGTTGTGTTCACATGTTGGTGTTACGGAAATTTAAAAATTTAAAGGGAATTGACAATGAATTAATTTTTATGTTAAAGGATCCAACATAATTTCGAAAACATTCTATGAATAGAAGGCTTATGTGTATTAGGCTTATAAAACGATTGTATCCATGGAAGAATCAAAAGAAATATTCTAATTGGAGGTAGATTACAGCTGCAAGTTAAAAGATGTACGACATGCTAAACTGATTTTCTGCACATGGTCATCGATTAGCATCTAATAAGACTTGAGACGGCTACATCATCCTCATCGTATTTTAGACAAACGCACTGCCGCTCAAAATCGACTTTGCCTATTTAAAATTTTGCAACTTTTGAGATATTTTCATAATTTTTGTTTTTGTGTTTAGACGGGTAATTTGGTAATTAAGCTTGCCTTCAATGTTTATGCCCTCATACAAAAAACGGCTTCTCTTTGGACCAGATCCGTTTCAGGATATTTGGAGTCGATCTAGGAGTATCCACCCGTCCTTTCTCTTACTGACTGGTACGCACTATAACTCTCGAAGGGAGTAACCGATTTGGTCCTAACTTGATACATCGTAGTATTATTGTCAAACTTATATCGAGTTCGGAGAGTGGCAAAATTGGTCTACTCCTTCAGGTACCTCCCATAAAATTACAAAAAAAAAAAAAAAAAAAAAAAAAAAAAATATATATATATATATATATATATATATATTTTACTGCACAGAAAGAAAAAGGACAATCTGACTTTGCTACAATATTGCAAATCCTAATATTTGCATTTGTGCTAGGTCAGATTCAAAAATGGAAAATATCGGTCCATTCCATAAAGTGACCCACAAAGGGTCAAAATTTTGAATAACTATAACTCTTATAAAATGTTATGGAAGTGTCTGATTGTCTTCAAATTACACACACCTCAATATTTTCATTAACCCAAGGTCTGGAGTGAAGATCGAATATATCAGTCTACTCCTTCTGGTACCTCCCCCTCAAAGGGTCAACATTTTCAGTATCTATGAAGGTTATGCAACGCGAAATTAACATTCGATTCCATTCAGACTTGGCACATCGCAAATTTTCAATCAACACAAGATCTGTTATTGCCTCTATCATTCCTTCTGGTACCTACCCCACAAAAGGTTAACGATTTGAATAAACAAAACCATGTTTAAATCCGAAATAAGCATCCGATTATCTTTATATTTCACACATCCCATTAATTCTACTAACACAAGATCTTCTGTGAAGATGGAATATATCGGTCCAATCCTTTTTGTACTTCCCCCATAAAGGGTCAACTTTTTGAATGTCCATGAAGCTCATTTAACACAGACAAATATTTTTGCTATTTTGAACTGTCGACACATGAACATTCGTTGTCCAGCAGTTTGTAAACAAACAAAATGACCGTGTTTACTCGTGAAAGAGGTCAGCTGAAAATGTGCACTTTCGGTTGGCCACCAGAACTCTAGCGCCGGTGTGGGCCGCCAGCTGATGGGTGTATTAAAGCCTTAAGCACGTAAACATTTTGGCCACAGACCTTGGACATTCCAATTGGACTCAGCACCATCGCACTCAGCACGCGCCACCCAAGAATGCTTAAAAAATGAGGTTCCTCGCTTCATTTCCAACACACAATTGTCAAAAAATCTCCTCGCTTTATTTCCAGCGCACAATGGCCACCAAAATCTCCGGATACCAATCCTTTGGGCTATTGTGTCTAGAGTATTTTGGAAAGCAAGGTTGCCACTAAAAATACCAAAGTATCGATCACCTCAAGCAAGCGCTTCGCCGGAAATGGGCCAAAATACCGCAGAGCAGCGTTCGGGCAGCGTGTGACGGTTTCATTGGCCGTTTGAAGGCCATAATTCGTTCCAAAGCTGACCACTTCGAACAAATCTAAACTTATCCTAAAATTTGATGCTATTTCCGACATTTTTTGCTTTCATTCAATAAAATTTACAAAAACAAAATGTAAAAATTATGGCGTTTGGCTTTCTTGCAGTTTTTTTATCTCACCGTGTATAGAAGACCTTTTAAAGGTTTTTTGTCTAAAAAAATTGGCATCTCATATAATGTGAAGGAAGTAACCAAAATAGTCCAAACCTGGCATGTCGCATTATTTATGTCATATTTATTTAGGTCCGATACGAAATGGACAATATTGGCCCATTTCTAGCTTCTAGACTCAATTCGGTCGTAAGTGCCAAATTTCACCCCATTTGGGCAAATATTAGATAAAATTTAGCAAAGGTATTTCTGAGCTGTATTTGATAAATTTCCCCAAATATTGTTGTTACAGAGTGTATATTACGGCTGCGGAGGACAAATATAACAAATCGGATGAACAATACATATATAGGAGCTATAGCTATATCTGAGCCGATTTCGATGAAATTTGGCATACTTATTTTCAGGCCTAATTTGGTTGTGTGTGCAAAATTCCATACTATTCGGGCTGATATTACACGTTGAGTGCACAATAAAAAGCAAATCGGACGAAGATATATATGGGAGCTATATCTAAATTTTTACCGATTATCTCCAATTTCAATAGGGTTCGTCCTTGGGCCAACCAAATGATTTGTGCAAAATTTCATCTGTTCACAAAAATACATGGACAGGTGGACGGACGGACAGACATTCATAAATCGACTCAGAATGTGTTTCTATGCAGATCATCAAAAGGAACTATGGGCTTATCTCGTTTCCTTTTGCCTGTAATAAAAAATGCACAAAGACATAATACCCTGACCACCTTGTGATGTAGGATATAAAAATACCAATGTTTGGTATATATCGACTAAGATTTAGATATTGCACCGATGTACATGTTTTACTGATTTTTCTCAAAATTAAATTTCTTTAACTACATTTGACCAATAAAATGACGTACACATCCTATATTTTTGATAATTTGAACCTGAGTGCAACTTGTACTTAAATAAATAACGAAATAAAATTTAAGATTTTTAGGTGCTCATACCTACACCTAATTCTTCATGTACATATTTACAATAAATTTCCCTGACATGACACCTATCGGGGCCAATGTTATTAACATTATTATTTAAATTACACCCACATACAACATTAAAATCACAGCTACAGAATAATGCCTAAATTTTCTTTTTATCTGTCATATAAGTAGAAATGTACAGACACACATATATTATGAAGTACAATAAAATATATATTCTCTTTTTCTTTTTCTGTTTTATTACCCAGTCGTTTATATGGCCTCTGGCGCGTCCTGCCACCGATGAAGAACCTCTGATTGTCGAGCTACGCACACAGACAACAAAAACCCTAATCAGAACAAGTTTAAGTCATGCATCGGGCGGATGGATGGGTGGCAGCCCAGCCACGGGTACCATTACCAGCAGCAGTAAATGTGTCGGTCAATATATGATGCTGATGCAAGGTAAGTTTTTACAAGCTTCTACTTATATACTTACATACATACATACAGGGGTAATCTTTACGCCAATGTGTTTGATGTTGTATGGTTTTTTTTTTCTCCTACAGTCCAGAGATGAAGTGTTTCAGCAGGGATTTTTGTCCGACGAACGATGTTAGTATGTTAATGTGTTTAATGCTCTTAGGCGTAGATGAGGATGTATTTTAGTTTTCACAGAGAATATTTAATATTCGAAAAGAGGGATAGAGTGGTAACTTCTAAGTGCTTAATGGTTGGCTTATGCCAACATAGATATGTGTCGAGATTGAGGTAGATGGAATAAAGTTTACGGATAATAGTTTTTCTATAAAAAGTTTTTTTATTAAACTAGTTTATCTTCAAATGCAGTTTGTTATCAAAGTTGGTTATTGAGAAAGAAAAACAGAAAGTTTCAGAAACTTTGTGAGGGTTATGACTTAATCTCAGATTTGAAGAAAGATTTTAGTTTGTAATACTCATATAATTTTGCTTACAAATGAATGAATGTTCGGCGTTTTAGCTATTGTTTGTGATCACTTTCTTCGGCTTGTATTTCTAGATAATTTAAAATGGCCATAACTCCTTAAATATTGACTCTCCGCGTTTTTAGCTATTATTTCATCATCACTTTTTAGGCTTGAATTTCTTGGTATTTAAAAATGCCCATAACTCTTTAAATACTGACTTTTCGGCGTTTTAGCTATTATTTGTGATCACTTTTTTAGGCTTGAATTATTGAATATTTCAAAATGGCCATAACTCCTTAAATATTGACTTTTCGGCGTTTTTAGCTATTATTTGTGATCACTTTTTTACTTTTACTTTTTTTACTTTTAAATTTTTAAATATTTTAAAATGGCCAGAACTCCTTAAATATTGACTTTTCGGCGTTTTTAGCTATTGTTTGTGATTACTTTTTTAGGCTCGAATTATTGAATATTTTAAAATGGCCATAACTCCTTAAATATTGATTTTTAGTCCTTAAAATTGACTTTTCGGAATTTTTAGCTATTATTTGGATAACTTTTTTAGGCCTGAATTATTGAATATTTTAAAATGGCCATGACTCCTTAAATATTGACTTTTCGTCGTTTTTAGCAATTATTTGTGATCACTTTATTAGGCTTGAATTATTGAATATTTTAAAATGACCATAACTCCTTAAATATTGACTTTTCGACGTTTTTAGCTATTATTTGTGATCACTCGTTTAAGCTTGAATTTCTAGAATTTAATTTAAAATGGCCATAACTCCTTAAATATTGACTTTTTGGGGGTTTTAGCTATTGTTTGTGATCACTTTTTTAGGCTTGAATTTCAAGATATTTTAAAATGGCCATAACTCCTTAAAATTTTGATTTTTCGGCGTTTTAGCTATTTTTTGATATTACTTTTTATACCCTCTACCATACTATGGAGGGTATATTGACTTTGTCATACCGTTTGTAACTCCTCGACCCAACAAAGTATATATATTCTTAATGAGCGTAAAATTCTAAGTCGATTTAGCAATGTCTGTCTGTTGTAATCACGCTATCTTTCGAACGATTTGAGAAAGAAGGCTACAACTTTGCACGCATGTTTATATGCCAATTTTATAATTGGCCGTATAGGTCCACGTTTTCATATAGCCTCCATATAACGGTACCCCCCGATATTCGGTATTCTGGTGAATAGTCTCGCTAAAATCATCAAAATACCAAATATCGGGAGGTACCGTAATATGGGGGCTATACCAAAACGTGAACCTATATGACCCATTTTCAATACCAAAAGTCCTGCAGACATAATATACATTTGAGTAAAATTTTATCAATCTACTTCAATTCGTTCGGAAGCTAGAGTGATTTCCACAGACGGATAGACGGACGGACATCGCTAAATCGAAATAGAATTTTATGTTGAGAAGAATATATATACTTTATGGGGTCTACAATAATTTCGAACCAGCACTGTATTCTAAACAACCATTTTGGTTTCTAATGGACACCTCTGCAAAATAAAAGCACATGTTTCAGATAAGGTTGAATAGTCATCTGACCAAGCATACGTGCAAACATGAAAGTACATACGTTTGCCATGCTTTTTATAAAACTTTCAGGTTTCTTTGCTGTTTTTTTCTTCACTCGTCTATGCTGGTTCAGGTCTTCGCACAGCTCCGATATAACTGTACCTCCCTACATACGATATTTTGATAGATTTTTTTTTTAATTTTGAATTTGAATTTGGTAATGGCTTATGACAAACAATACCTATGTAGGTCCACATCGTATAGACCCCAGTATAGCGGCTATATTCGTTTTTATACCCTCAGCCATATGGCTACAGAGGGTATATATCATTTGATACGCCCAAAACGTGCCTAGTCGAAATAACGGTTTTAGAACCTAGGTCTCTTTGGACCAAATCCGTTTCAGAACATTTGGAGTCGATCTAGCGATGTCCGTCCGCCCGTCTGTCTGTCGGGCTAGCTGGCTACATCGTAATATTTTTGTCAAACTTAGATCGAGTTCGGAGATGGGCAATATCGGTCCACTCCTTCTGGTACCTCCCCCACAAAATATTGAAATTTTGAGTACCCATGAAGCTCATAAAACGCCAAATTAACATCCGATTCTATTTAGACATGGCACATCTGTCGAAATATTTACATCATATTTTTGGGTCCGATAGGAAATGGGCAATATTGGCCCATTCCTTCGGGATCTGCTCCATAGAGGATCAAACGTTTGAATAATCTTAACACTAGTCAAAATATATTTAGATAATCGAACATAGGCTGAGGGTATATAACTGGCGGCAATACCTACTGATACTATTTAACTTGTTTTTTTTAAATTTAAACAGAATTTTTTAAGGATTCTATTTTTTGAAAATTTTCAAATTCGTCCCAAATGGCGGAGGGTAATCAAAGTTCGGTCTGGCCGAACTTACTGCTTTTTTTTTAACTTGTCTAGCCTTGAATTTGTAGATATTTTAAAATGGCCACAACTTTTTGAATATTGACTTTGACTGAGGATTGCCATTTTATTTATTTCAAATCTCATATTTCAAAATCATATCAATATTGACATTTATTTCAATGATTCAATACACAACGCACATTTTCCTTCCGACACACAAGGTCGTAACGCATATAAATCAAATATAAATTACTAACAAAGAGAAAAGAACTTTTAACTCACTTTTCAGGGTCAAGTTTATTAAGTGGTTCCTTTGTATGTATGTGTGTGTGACGAGAATTCAATACGCAACAATTTCTACAGAAACTAACAAGGACATATATTTCATTAACATAAATTCTTTGAAAGGGGTTTTGTCTGGGGCTGAAGAGCACTTTGTATAGCCATTATTATATTCACACGAATATCCAACAGTTTACAAGAATTTTATGAAAATTGGTTACAAAGAAATTCTTTTTCTTTTTCAAAGTTTCCAAACATTTTTGGTTAAAAATTGACATTAACTTGACTTATTTTCGTCAAGTTAATAAATTCAATTTTTTTACACTTTCACAAGCATGGAAGTGTGCCATTCATTAGCAATGGGGCTTGTATGGAACTTAAGTGCTGTAGAGCCATTGCCGATGTTATGAATGTGAAAGAGAGGGAAGGGGGAGAGATTCCAGAGATGGAAAATATCAAAAGTAATATGCTCTGCACATGGCTATGAGGTCTATAGTCCATGTCATAAACTCATATTGAAGCCTTTAAAACAGTTCAAAGCCTTTGAATATACAGGGTGAGATGAAAAAGCTGCAACCAACTTCAGACTGCTGTCATTTCTAAGCCACTCGTCCGACAGCTGTTAAAATTAATCCAGTGACAGCTCATTATATTTTTTACAAGCGTACAAAAGCATTTTGGTGAGAATTTTCCTGAAAAACAGTTATTCGTGTTGGAATTCAAGCGTGATAGTGTGATTTCTTTATATTTGGCTGGAAAACCACAAGTGGCTATCGTTAGAACACTCCCGTATTTAAATGTAAATAAATCTTTTGTGTCTCGTACCATCGCTCGTTACCATGATACTGGTAGCGTAGCCCGACGTCAAGGAAGTGGACGGAAGAAAACAGCAACATCAGCAGAAGTGGTTCGCAGTGGCCGAAAATTGGCTGGTGAGCTGAACATATCGCAATATTCCATTCGGCAAATATTGAAAAACCAGCTCGGGGTAAAGCCATTGAAATTTCAAAAAGTGCAAGGACTTACACCACAACAGAAAGAAAATAGACTCAAAATAGCAAAAGAGTTGCTTCGCTTGGCCGAAAGTGGTGAATTGCCGAATTTGGTTTTCTCCTCTCCGATGAGAAAATATTCGTTGTTCAGCAGTTTGTAAACAAACAAAATGATCGTTTTTACTTGCCAAAGAGGTCAGCTGAAAATGTGCACCTTCGGTTGGCCACCAGAGCTCAAGCGCCGTCCATGGTGATGGTGTGGGCCGGCATAACAGCCGATGGTTGCTCTCCGCTCGTATTTATCAGAAAAAATGACGAATATTATCGCGAAAATATTCTGGGGGATGTATTTTGGCTGCAGACAATGGACATTCCAACAGGACTCAACACCGTCGCACTCAGCACGCTCCACCCCAGAGTGGTTACAAAATAAGCTTCCTCGCTTCATTTTCTGCGCACAATGGCCACCAAAATCTCCAGATACCATTCCAACGGATTGTGTCTGGAGTATTTTGGAAAGCAATGTCAGCACTAAAAAACCAGTAAAGAAAGTCTTAAAGTCTGGCGGGGCCGACTTTATGATACCCTACACCACTTTGCTAATTTAGTAGAGCTCCGCATAACAATTATATGTTTTTATGGGAGAATTCAATCATACACGCTATGATTATAACTATAATTTAAAGTTCAAAAGACTAAATATGCCGAAGCATTTGTATCTTTTAAATTCGGACTTGGATAAAAATATATATGGAAGCTATATCCAAATCTGAACCGATCAAGATAAAATTTGCCAAAGATATTTCTG